TAGGCACGATGGCCAGTGAACGATTTAGCAATTGATGAAAATTTGATTGGATTGAAAATGCTGTCATTATATACAGTATGTGTCATTCATTAGAAGATCACAAGATTTGGGTGCATTTCCATTGTGCATTTAAATTAGACATGAACAGAGAGTTTTTTCTTTTTGTTACTTCTCTTCAATGGTTTCATTGAAGCATCTGCATGGATCCCAGGTGCACAGATTTAAGGCCAGATGTAACTGGTAAAGCATCAAATCAATCATGTTTCACCCAAATTAAGACTAAAATTTGAGTCGCTTTCACAGAGTCAAAAAGGACATTATTTAGACTAACCTAAAGCGTTCTCTTTTCTTTGGAATACAGATTTGTTATGTGAGAAGAATCCAAAATGTCAGACCACAACATGTTGTTACGTACACCTCTTTTTTCTGTATTTAGCAAATCTCAGTGAAGACATAATTTGCATCATCAGATTGTTCTCTCATTTTGAGTTGAGGAGAGTGGGCACTCACTCAGCTTACAGCCATAGTTCGGATTGTGAAAAGGTTTTGAGAATACACAACAAAGCCCAGCCCAGCCCAGTGGCGATTAACTAATTTGGCACTTGTTCATACTGTAGTTAGGCCGTCCTAATGTGGGGATTAAAATTAGAGCAGAGGGTGACACATTTAGGCCGCCATTTAAAATTTAGACAGACTTAAAATTTGGGTAAGCATAAGGCTGGCCTTATTTTCTGATATATTAGTGTTTTCTTAAGAATAAACAGAAAAGAATCTTACCTGGTGACATGTTATCAAAATTAAAATCCCCGGTGAGAACATCAAAGGCAATAATATCTTCTGGATCAGAGACACACAAGGTCTTTTTTTTAAATTCCTGAAGCCATAGTGTTATCTTATTCATCTGGTTCAATCTGATAAAACTTTTGTCTGTAAAAAAAAAAAAAAAAAAAAAAAAATATTTTAAGCCACTCAATCAAAGAAGAACTCATGCAGCTAAATAGCAAAGGGTTTAAGAACATTTGAGTGCAGCTGAGCAGTTACCAATTTACTAAAAATTAAACTGATGTAACCCACATATCATTACTGATTATGAGGTAAAGATTTAGTTGTTCATGTGTGAGTTGATGGTGTTTCAAGATATGGCGTTCCTCACTCAGTTGGTATAAACAAACATTTTTCCATTCAGCCAATTGGATTGTCAAACAAATGTATGCAACATACATTTACCAAATTTGAATATCAAGGCATGTCAGAAATATATATTGCATCGCAACAGCATTTGTTAAAACAAAATCGCCACCAGTCAGCCATTTTCAATCTTATTCGAAGGTTTCATAATGCCCAATGTATGTACTAAGTTTGCATGATATATCTATACACAAGTGAGATCTGGTTCAGGAATGGCAGAAATGTGAGTATACGATACATATGTTTCCCTAAAATCTATACGTGAAGTTTAAATGTGCACCCCAAACATGTCCAAGGAAATCATTAAGGAATATATTATTACGAGGATACCTCAAAGTATGCACTCAGACAGTACAGCTGGAGTATCTTTCGACGCGCAGCGGAGGTCAATGCGCGGCATACTTTGAAGTATCGTCATAATAACCTTCTTATTAAACATCTTTTCCTTCCAAGGATACACTATTGGAATGCTGAAATCCAAAATGTTTAGAACAGATTCAGCGAACTTCTTTGTGTGGATTCCGGTCAAACTCTGGTAGCAGCCATGTTTGTTTTTATTATTAGAGGACACTTACGCACATAATCATTCCATATTTGGAATTCGCATTAAGATGAAAATACCCTGTAAAATACCGCAAAATTATGGCATGCTGTAATTAGCTTATCGCGTTACGGTGACAGATGTATAATAATAGTCTTCATTTCTAGACTGACCACATGAAAACTACAGGTAATACAATGTATTAAAGTCATATTTCAATGATTCAGCATACAATAAATATAAAAGCAATTTCAGAACAAATACACAATACAACGTGATTAATATTCAGTGTACAAATGTGTATCATTTGCCAAACCTAAAGTAGACTAATTTCAAAGTCTCGCCCTGCAGCAGATTTTCTAGGACATTATTTAGAATGACAACAGTGTTTCGGTCGGACATGTTATCGGTCATTCTGGTTGACTAGATTCAAACACTGCCTACTGAATATAAAACAGAACAGCTAGCATATAACACAAAATAATGATGAAGCAAGTGAACTGGATTGATTGCATACTGGCACAAGGGATATATAGTAGTGTATTATATATTTTGTAAAATTCTATTGTATTTGCGATATAAGAGAGAGAGTGTATGTATATATACTGTAAAATCTGTATTAGAAGCCGCATTCCTAATAGAAGTCGCACCCATTCTTTTCGAACAATTTGGAAACAAAAATTCATCATTACTCACATGTGTAGATACTCTAATAGAAGTCGCATACCGTCTGTTGCATTGTACCATTTTAATAAAATTCGCGGCTTCTAATACAGATTTTACAGTAGCTGTAGCAACTTACCTCTGCCTGCTTGGAGCTGTGTTACAGCTATATATCCAACAATTCTTTGCCTGTCTCTAGTTTTTCCAAGTCGGACCTGTGATATGAAACATAAACATTATTTATTATATTGAATAAAATATTATTTCTGCTCCTTCTAGTTTATTAATTTATAAAAAACTTGTATAACAAAATCAATGCTTAGAAACGGTTCTGTCAGTACAGATGGTAATATTATGAAAAAAAAATCTTCAACAGTACAGAAGGTTATTAAGTTCAATAATTCTTATGAAATGAAAATAGACCAGCTCTAATATATAACGCTGGGCAGGACTTGTAAGAAGTTACATCTTATATGATAATACAGTTAAATTTGTTGGCAAATATATATACTGGTATACATATAACGCAGGTGGGCAGATTGAAAAAAACACTGTAAAACAAGAATACATCTTGGTTAGATGTGATCAGAATAAATCATCACACATCACATGTCAATTGGAAAATCAACAGTGATAGGTGTATTCACAAGGTGAAATATCTTCAAAGTTCAAAGCCGTTCCTTCATACACAAAAAGAAAACACATCAGTTTCTATTAAACCTGATGATTTAGCGAAATACATATAGAGATTTATTGAAGCTATACTGTTAAATGCTCATAAATAAAGTGAAAATGACTACCAAAGAAATTGAGAAAGTTGTTTGGTACCGGTATACAGAGGTGTATGGAAAAGGGACATTACTTGCATTTACACTACTTTCATTTCCAGAATTTTCCATGTGATTTAATATTTAATTTTTTCACAGAGCACCGAATAAATATTCTACATACATTGTATAAAATCATGTTAATTACTGTAAAATTTAAAAACCTACGATATTTTGTCTTCGTTTATGTGAGACAATTACAACAAGGTTTGTAAATATAAATGCTACTCTGACAGTATGTATTATTTTGCAAGGAATTTCAACCATTGTTTTATGATTTATTATGAATGTGTGATCATGTTATGATTATGCCAGGCATTTGTCTGAGATATACATGTAAGCACTGGAAACACATGTTGGACCTATCTGAACAAGAACTTAATTATGGTAGGCCCAGAATCAAAAGAGAGGCTTAACCTTTTTACCACCAGACTTTGTCACCCAAATTTGTCTGCACTTTTTTTTTCAATATAAGTTCAATATTTCAGGAAATGAACCCTTATTTTGGAGCCAATCGACAAAATTTGAGCCAAGTTTTTACTCATACACAAAATTTGGCTATTTTTGTCCAGATCTTCTGAAAGTAACTGCAGACAACTGGTAAACCGAGCTATTTTGTAAATTGGTGATGGAAAGGAGGAACGGGTGGTGAAAAGGTTAATGAACATATATATTGGAAGAAACGATTAAATATTTGTCTAAATAACCAAAATGAGCATAATTTGGAAATTGAATTACCGTAGATACTACTAGAAGAAAAAAACAATCATAAAAGAAAAGAATAGACTTTATAAAAAAGACAATGAAAAAGTAGTCAAGAATGAAATTCACTTCATTCTAGATTGTAAATTATAATAAAGGAGGAAAGAAAACTCATTTTGAAGAATGTGATATCAAAACAAACCAGAAAGTGGAAAGACTAAATAACTTTAAAACAATATACAATTGTAGTATTGCATTGGCCAAATATTTAAAAAATACAATATACAAAATTAAATAAAAATAAGGGAGTTTACATATTTTTTAATAATAGTTTCACATTATGTATTATTTGTTTTCTGTCTGTGTAATGCATTTTATACTTTGTCTTTACCATACAGTACCCTCAGATGGTACTTGTGGAGTAATAAAGTTACTATTATTATTATTAATGAGATACTGTATCCCATATTGCAGTCAGCATAACAGTGTTAGTTACAGCTACAAACCATGCCTGCATCTCATCACTGAATCATTCACGTAGTAAATAACAGTTATTGCATGTAAATTCTACAATTCTGACTTACTCCCAATCATGAACTACCTTCAGTTTTGATGAATTTGCTATAATGATGAAATGTAAAAAAAAAAAAAATGGGACATGCTTCGATTCCTCCATCTTAATTGCCTACCCTACAGCAAAGTACACCATGCAAGTACATGATATGACCTCCAATAACAGTTAATGTACAATTGTACTTCATTAAAAGTACCTAGAAGACTCTACCTTTGAGATGATATACAAATAAAGGACAGAACTGTACAAAGTAACAGTTATCACAGGCTGACAAACTTGAACAACCATGTTTGATCATATCAATACAGATAAAGGCAGATATTATTGTTGAACCATTATGTTCTATAATGCACTGGAAAAAAGATTAAATCTTAGAGCTTAGATCTTAAAGCGAGAGGGTTGCAACCTGCGCACATGCGGGAATTGAGTCCCAAGCGACGATAACAACACACGCTAAAAACGCAAAGGCTCATGGGTGGACGCTTGTTTGTAAAAAATTACATGCTATGGCCATCTAACACATATGCAGGTGACGACTCCCCCGCTTTAACTAGTAGTTTGGTTTTATTTTTCATTGATATGTGTAGTTAAAAGAGGTGAATTAACATCCAGTGATTATACAAATTTGTAATTTCACAAACTGATCTAGTGAACACAACCACTAAAAACATAGTTGAACTCTGGTGACCTTGCCCTTTGTTATATAATATAATTCCCTTTATCATAGTTTGTTTCAATATAAATATGCATTGTCATAATTAATTATGAATACAAACAAGTTTTGGGGTTGAACCAACAGTGGGGAATCAGTCTACCGAATGTCCTTAAAAGATGTAAATATCTTACAAAAACATTGGTGCCTTATTTGTTTAATTATTTTAAGGAACATAATTTCCAGCTTTCTTCAAAGTAATTCAGATATTTTAGTATAAAAACAAATGTCTCACTGAAAAAAAAGTGCTGCATTTAGATGTGAATAGATTCATAAAACATGCAAGATAACAGAAATTTTTAGCTGGCTTTAGTCCAAGTATTTTGTACAGGTGTCTGTCAAAAATTGATGATTCACTGAGACAAATATGAACTGCCTCATTGTGTGACTACTGTATTATATGAAAAGTAAAAAAAAAACACCCTTTATGAATAGCTACCATGTTGCAAG